TATCTATATATATATATATATCTATATATATGGTTACTTTTAATAGTTATTTCATTACAACGGACATTGTTTGTGAACAGTAACAATTTGAGTAAATTCAATTGTTATTGGATTTGATAAGTTAATGAAGAACTTTAAATACATTTCATACATTTTATAACATTAATTTTAATAATGCTAATGATAAATTATTGTACTCTCAAGTTGTTTTTAAATCAAGTGTTTTTAGGTGAAATGTATAAATATTAAATTTTAATAGTAGTTAAATTTAAATTAATATTTATTATGAATTTCACTCTTGGGAGCAAGGAAAGCTAAACCATTATGTTTGTAAACACATTAAAGATCATTAAAAGCTCTTTGTGGTTCAGACCTGCAATCTTTCGAATCATGTTGCATATAATATTGACTGTTATATTAATCTGTGTACTTATGTCATATCTTGTGCTGTAAATAAAAATAAATAAATACAAGTGATGTCCATTGTAACAGTCACTAGGTCTGAGCAGGTTAATACTTGCTTTAATTTGCATACATATATCATGGTTTCTAATAAGCAGTTTGATTTATTACCTAAAATGACAGGCTAAATTAGTTATAATGGAGTGTATTACATGCAATTGAGTTTTGTAAAGTCTTGTAAAGTTTGTTTTCTTTGGCTTGGTTCGCTTCAGACTGCAGTCTGTTTGCCATGTGATAAGACTGATGTGATTTTATTTTTTATCTCCTGGAATTAATTTAACCTTTAGGACCCTGTTGGTTGCCAAATCCCCTCAAGAGCCAAACGAATGGAAAACTCAACATACAATATTCACCCACTCACCTTGATCTTAATGTCATTGCAAGCATACTATGTTCATTTTGAGCAGTGCAATTGCTTTCATTGTCCAGTGGCTTCCGTGCCTCATTTTGTTCATTCATGATTTATAGTTGTGTTTATCTGGATCTTTGATGGTGAGTTAGTCAGACTAATGCATAGGAATAAGTGATGGAAGGAAAGAGGGTGGTTGAAATAAATCTGTTCTTTGTTCCAATTAGTCCCAGAATCCGACCAACCAAATCCAAAATCAACAGGGCATAAATGCTTGGATGTATTCCTACCATTTCAGTTTGACAGAACCAATGAGAATCCACTCCACTCAGTTTCAGTTTTGACCTGGTTTGTTTCCAGATGTCATTTAGGGACTCTTGACACCGATCTGAAGCCAAACTCTTATGGCTTAAAAACACAGCCCTATAAGCCTACATAAACAAAGGCTTGGCAATGCAGACATGGAAAATGTCTGATTCTAGCGAATAAAAGCTGTGATTTGTCCACAGTTGACAACTTCTGTTAGTGGTGGGCTAGATGTGTGGCAACATCATAGACCGAGATGGATATTACCCTGGCTTTATATCCCCCCCTTCTGTTTCTAGGCTTGGGCCCCTGATGGTTGGGGCTTGTGTGGTCTCTAAACACTCTCCCTGCCCCGAGCGAAGCCCTCTGTACCCCAACACACACACATACACACACTCTCACCACTGCGATGTCACACCTTTCCAACAGCTCAGTGCGAGATCACATGAAATGGGTCAGTGTGTTTTTTTTTTCTCTTCTTCATTTGCATTTTCTGCATTTGTCCACATTTGTTTGAAAAAGAAGGCCTTCATTTTTCTTTTGCTTGGCGTTTCTGCGTATTAACTCTGTAATTCACTTCCACAGTGCGACTTAACACAAAATGTACAGAGATTGTTTACAAGTAATGGGGTGGATCTCACAAAAGCTGTCAAGAACGTGTCTGGATCATATTTTGCATGATGAAAATTAAGCCATTTTTAGGGCCATTTAGGATTTTTTTTGGTGAACATTTTCATGACAATTAAGCACATTTCAAATTGTTGTAGTATTAAAAATATCTATCTTTATATGATTGAAGATTTGATTTGACTTCAGTACACTGACAAATTACTGTTTTGCAGTAATGAGAATGACCTTTGTGAATAATACAGTACTGTGAATTGTCATAATGCAAAAATCTGAATCTTAAAAAGAGACTTTAGTTTTGCAAAATTATTATTATTTTGCATAAATTTTGTCTATTTAGGATGATTAAGATATTATTATTGTTATTATTATTGTAAAATGATCTGGGCATGTTCTTGACATATTTGCATAACTGTGGCCTCTGAATTAATCTGACAGATCGTGTCTGTGAAGAGTTAACTGGGTCACATTTGTCAAATTTCAAGCTAAATTTCCAACTCATTAGATGAGTGCCTTTAGTGCCTTTTTGAACAGATGTGTATGTTTGTGGTTGTATTTCTACACAGGCTGGGTTGCTCGGCTGTGAAGCGGTGCTGTCCAGCATGGCACTCATGCAGGCCAGCTCCATGCCCAGCCATAAGAAGATGGGCTCTCATCTGGGCCAGGGACAGAGAGAAAACAATCACAACCAGGACACACACAGCCAACACGGCCACATGGTGCTTCCCTCAGGAGTCAGCTGCCCACCACTGGTAAGAGACAAAGACATGATTTGTGTTGGGAAAGAAAGTCATATTGGTTTGGAATGATTTTTTGGGGTGAACTATTCATTTCAATTTTGAAAGTCTTCCATAGAATCCTGTAGCTAATGCTAAGGTCATGGGTTCAATTCCCAGGGAATGCATGAAAAGATCAAATATGTCTTGAGTGCAATGTGAATTGCTTTGTTTGGATAAAAACTACCAAGTGCATAAATGTACAACTACCGTTCAAAAGGTTGGGATTAGTATGATTTTTTTTAAAAGAAAGAAATTAATACTTTTATTCAACAAGGATGCATTAAATTGATCAGTTGACAATAAAGACATTTATAATGTTACAAAAGATTTCTTTCTTCTTTCTAAGAACTTTCTATTCATCAAAGATAAAAAAAACCCACAATAAATATATTAAGCAACATTTCCAACACTGGTATTAATAAGAAGTGTTTCTTGAGAAGCAAAAAAGCATATTAGAATGATTTCTGACACTCACGACTAGAGTGATGGCTGCTGAAAATTCGGTTTTGCATCACAGGAATCATTTATATTTTTAAATCAATTAAAATAGAAAACAGTTATTTTAAATTGTAATAATATTATTTCACAATATTTCAGTTTGACTGTATTTTTGATCAAATGAATTCAACCTGGGAAAGCATAAAAGACTTCTATCAATAAACATTTTTTAAAAATCTTTCCGATCCCAAACTTTTGAAAAGTAGTGTATGTTTAAATTCTAGAGGCTTGATATATATTTTTAGAAATACTTCTTAAACTGTGCACT